TTCATCCGTAGCTTCCAGCGTTTGGAATTATTTCACTCTTATATTCTTCTTATAGAGGATAGTTCATGCTGTAACAGCAGAAGCTTTTGGGAATACAGTATAACATGTCTTTAAAAAAAAAGTCCAGAGGTCAGGAGAACCCTGAGTCGGAAGTTCTGTGCATTGGGCCATAGTAATTGATTAACCATTCTGTTTTTACTGTGTTTTTCTTTCTAATTAATTATGTTTCAGTTTTGGATTAATATTTTCTAAAATACTGCTTGCTTTCTCCCTTCTGTTAGCTGTTGACAGGGAGAAAGGCTAACACTGACTTATTGCAGGATCTTAATCATATCAACTGTCACCCAGTTCTTTTTAATAAATATTTTCCACTGTTAACAGTTTCAGGGTAGGATTTCTTTTTATGACAGGATCCAAGGGTACTCTTATTATGACCTGTTATTGCCACGGTGCTCTTTCTTCATAGGCATTGCTTGCTTTTAAAAAATATCACTCTGGAAATTGTGGGAAAGAGTTATTTATGTTTGTAGCAGTGGGAACTTGATATTTTAGAATAGCAGTTTATACTCTGATTTCCCAAGGAGGCAAACAGTTGTTCTACAATGAACGTATACCCACACATGATGAACTCACAAAGAAAACACTGAATAGAGATCAGAGATTTGGCTTCCAGCCAAATCCTGGCTTCCCGTTCAGCCCTACTTGCTTCTTTGTTTGTTTGTTTGTTTGCTTGTTGAATTATTTTTCCATTTTCTGAACTGCCCATCTCCCTCAGAGAGGGACTCTTATTCCCAAAGAGACAGAAACAGGCAACACAATCTTTGGCAAATGAGTGCCAAAATATCTTACTCTTTCAATAAGATATACCAATTCAAACAGTGCACTCTGTGTTTGATATTTTCCCCATGAAAAAGGTTTGTGCAAATAAACACCCCACCCCCACATACAAACCCCTAAACACAGACCCCACCACCTACCTAGAAAAAACCACCAGATCCAAAATAAAAGCCTCCCCCATCAGCAAAGAAATCCAGCAAAGAATCATACCCAGAGAGAAATCATCCACATGCCCTAAGCTTTATGGTCTCCCCAAGATACACAAAGAAGGAACCCCACTTAGACCAATAGTCAGCTCCATAGGCTCACCTCTACAAAACCTAGCCAAATTTCTCACGAAACAACTACAGCCCTATGCAGAATCCATCAACTCACACGTAAGAAACTCATTCCAGTTCATCGAGATCATAAAGAAACAAAACTTACAACCCAGCGACCTACTAGTAAGCTTCGATGTCATATCCCTCTTCACCCAAGTGCCTATAAAAGAAGCCTTGACAGCCATCCAAAACAAATACAACCCCCCCAAGCACATCCTAGATCTGATCAACCACTGCCTATTCAATACATACTTCACCTACAACGGATAAAAATACAAACAAATAGAAGGAGCACCCATGGGATCACCCCTCTCACCTATCATCGCAAACCTCTACATGGAACACTTTGAAACACAAGCTCTAGAAAAATATGATCACAAACCCAAACTCTGGCTCAGATACGAAGATGACACCTTCATAATCTGGCCAAACGGGAAAGAAAAACTGAACAACTTCCTCACACACCTCAACAGCCTACACCCCAAAATACAATTCACCATGGAAACAGAAGCTAACAATCAACTTCCCTTCCTAGATGTCTTAGTATACAAAAAATCCAATGGCTCCCTAGGACACACCATCTACCAGAAGAAAACACATACAAACCGTTACCTACACGCACTCTCACACCACCACCCAGCACAGATCAATTCCGTAGCTGAGACACTCATCTCCAGAACAAAATGCGTAGCCGAACTACACCTAAAAACCAAACTACACACTCTCACTAACGTACTAACAGCCAATGGATTCCAAAGAAAGAAGATTACCCACCTAATCCAAAAAGAAACCCCAACCAAAATCCAAGACAGAGAACAAGAGAACGGCAAAGCCCTCCTCCCATATATAAAAGGTACTACAGACAAAATCAGCAAGATCCTCCAAAAACACAACATTAAAACAGCATTCTGCACAAACAGAAAAATATCCACCATCCTAAGAAACCCTAAAGACAAAATCGAGTTAGAAAACCAAGGAGTATACGACATCCCTTGCACTGCCTGCCCCACCACATACATCGGACAAACTAACAGAAGAATAAGTGCACGCATTGAAGAACACAAGAACTCAATCAAAAAAGAAGAACCAACCTCTTCCCTGGTCCAACACCTCAAAGCCACAGGATTGACTTTAAAGATTGACTTTAAAAATACCAGAACTATCACCAAAACCGAACACTTCAACAACAGAATAATCAGAGAAGCCATAGAGATAGAAAAATGCCCACACAGCATGAATAAACGAGATGATACATCCCGCCTACCAGCCATTTGGAAACCCGCCCTCATTAACAAACGAGTACCTAACATGAAGAATGACACCAGACCCACACCCACGAGGGCCACACAAGATGCTACCACACTTCCACGTAGAAAGCAGACTCACACCCACACAGAAGATGAGACATGACCATGGACCAGAAGCCGTACCGCAGCTGCATCACTACCCGCTTCAAACCCCTCCGACCCATACATGAAGCAAACTGACGCCCACGATGAAGATGTGGCATGACCACGAACGCGAAGCCAAACAACAGGATCACAGCTCACCAGCTCAAATCCCCCAGCAACTAAGACTAACCTGAGCACAACCAAGCCCCCACCTGAACAGAACACACCCCCACCCAATCAGAACACAGCCAAGCCCCCACCCAACCAAGTCACACCCCCACTAGCAGTTAAAAGGAAGAAGCAGCTGCAAGCTCACATTACTCCGAGAAGCACAAAGCCGAAGACACAAGCCTGAAGATGATGAATGAGACATATATATATATGTGTGTTATGTCTCACCTGTACAAACGAGGTGAGAAGTCCAAATTTCCAACTAAATACAAACAAGCAAGCAAGTCCAGTAATTATGGAGTTAACTCCTTTGAGCCGATAAAGTTCTTGGCAGTCTCACACACACTGTCTGCCAAGTCCGACCAGATAAGAGGAATACAAATCATACAAGCTGTCACCACACACAGGATACTCCGAAGCTTCTCTCCATAAGTAACACGTTGTTCCGAACAAGTTCCCAGAGCGAACACACCCACTTTTATTCCCTGTGGGGCGTGTCAGTCCCTCATCTCAGTCTCTGATTCGTCCCTTCTTTCTGCGTTGCAGCTCGCACTTTGGCCTACGCCGCTGCCTCGCATCAAGCCAGCATTCCTCTGCTGGATTCTCAGTCAGAGACTCTGATACGCCCTCCTCCTTTTCCTGATTAGCCTCAGGTTTTCCCTCCCGGTTATCTGCCGACACCTGAGGCACAATCAGGGAGGAAGGCATTGCCGAAGAGGAAGGTCCTGGGGAGGAAGGCATTTCCAAAACCTCCTCTTCCCCACTGTCTGAGACTTCGTCCTCTAATAAAGCAGGCTCAAACCTCAGAGCCACAACATACATACATACATACATACATACATACATACATACATACATACATATATATATGTTTTCTTAAGTTTTTGCGGGTACTTACATGTATGGTATTCAGCTTTGTTCGGGTATTTTCCCACGTCATTATAGTTGTGCTTTTAAAGTTGTAGCAATGTTTCGGCAGAATCTCATCTGCCATCATCAGGCTTCTGTATAGTGTTCGTCTGTGAATCAGACTTTCACAGCCATTTCAGTTTTAAATTTGGGGCTAGCCTACTGCTGTGCCAGAATGTTTTTTTCTTCATCCTGATTGGTTGGGAGTCTTGGTCTGTGTTTATTGGTCTTGGAATTTGCTGTGTTCTGCTTGATTGGTGTTTCTAATATCTTCTGTCTGTTTTGTGGCTTTTTTTGTCTTGATTGGCTGGCAACATTGTGTTCCTGTATTGGAGGCTTTTAGTGCAGCTTGGCCCCGAGTAAATGGTCGGCTATCATTTATTAGGAAGCTAGGTTTCATCTGGGTGCCTGGTTAGGGTGTGTTTGAGCTGGAGGTATCAGGGGGGATCTGTTTGTGCCCAGGTGTTTGCCTGGCTTGTGGTATGGATATTTTTTTGTTTGTGAATGCAGGCTTCCAAATAATTGACAGTCTGGTGGAATCATCTCTTCTATTCATTCTTTCAGGTCTTTTTTCAATCTCTATGGCTTCTCTGATAATTCTGTGGCTGGGGTTTTCTATAGTGGCTAGGGTTTTGGTGCCATTGAAGTCAATGCTATGACCTGACTCACAGACGAACACAATACAGAAGCCTGATGATGGCAGATGAGATTCTGCCGAAACGTTGCTACAACTTCAAAAGCACAACTATAATGACGTGGGAAAATACCCGAACAAAGCTGAATACTATATGTGTGTGTGTGTGTGTTTAACCTGTCACAATAATCAGTAGACATCATGGGGGAAAGGCAGCATCCAAATGGGAATCTTTTCTCATGGTCTGTCACAGAAAGTCCAAAAAGAGCACTCAGATAGATTACTGAGTGTTCTTAATCACTAAAGTTTAGGGAGGGGACAGGGCCAGCAGGCAGGAGAAGACTGCGCTAAGTTAAGGACAAAACTTAAGTCAAGAACCTTCATAACTTCCCACCATTTTTCCAAAACTCTACCTTCTCCCCCAAGAGAAATGTCGTTTACTATTCTTCTATTATGCCTACATACCGTGTTTCCTCAATAATAAGGCCCACCCCAAAAATAAGCCCTAGCCTGATATTTTTTGGGTGGGCCTAATATAAGCCCTACCCCAAAAATAAGCCTGGGGGATGGGCATGGCCAGCACATGAGGCAGCGAGCTCTGATATATCTGATTTGTACTTTCAGTCATATATCTGCTTAAACGAATTCTGGTGTGATTATATCCATTATTGCAATTATTAGATGCTACATCCTAAAGAAAAAACAAAAACTAAGTCTAAAAATGTATATATATTTTAGGTTGTACGGACTGAGAAGAATAGTTTGAATAATCGGTTTCTGCCCTGGGATGAGATTGAAACAGAAGCCATTTTGTCCATTGATGATGATGCCCACCTTCGCCATGATGAGATCATGTTTGGATTTCGGTGAGTAAAATCTGACTTTTAATCATCAGCCATTAGTATCAGGTCTGAACTAATTGTCCGTTTCCATCAAGGTTTGCAGAGATGGAGGATTACAATTCCTGTTTTCCTTATTTGTTTTGGCCATTTCTGTGCTGACTGGGAATGATAGAATTTTGAAGCCAAAGTATAACTTTCTTTCATGTTTGCCATTATAACATTGTTTTTCATGCACTGAGCCAGTGGCGCAGTGGTTAGAGTGCAGTACTGCAGGCTCCTTCTGCTAACTACTGGCTGCCTGCAATTTGGCAGTTCAAATCTCACCAGGCTCAAGGTTGACTCAACCTTACATCCTTCTGAGGTGGGTAAAAGGAGGACCCAGATTTTGGGGGGGCAATATGGGCAATATGCTGACTCTGTAATCCGCTTAGAGAGGGCTGTAAAGCACTGTGAAGCAGTATATAAGTCTAAGTGCTATTGCTATTGCTATTGTTTCCTCTTCACAATAATGAGGGGTGTGCACGTGTTCTATTTATAATATTTTTAAAGCAGAAGAATGAAAACAATTACGTTACAGCCTTGACTATCTTCTCTTCCCTCCCTTCCCTCCTAAGAAGTGAAAATAATCTTTCCCAACCTGATAGGATATTTTCTGAAAGAGCAGCTATGTGGTTGCATTTCTCTCTGTTCTTAATTTCCACCATATGGAGACACTCATTTTTAGCATACTTCATTTTTAATAACAAATTGCTATTTATACCACTATTAAAAGAGCCTGTTGTTTGCTGGCATGACATAAACAGCCATGGGAATATCATAGACAGGGACATAAGCCAATATTGGAAGGTAGAGTAGCAAGAAGAAGGCAGGATTTTCGGATAAAATTTCCTGTGCAAGAAAAGCAGCTCTTTTCAAATTGTTAAAAGCAACTAAATTGATTCCAAAGCTTTGACAACTGCTTCAGAAAGATAGAGAAATTTCTTTGAAAATGATGTGGCTGCTTTAATGACTTGAAAAGAGGTACTTTATATTCGTTTCTGCCATTGTAAAGCTCCTTTTTCAAAGACTTTATGCTGTCCTCGTGTCGGAATGTCTGAGTATAGCCTTAATAGGAGATGGTCTCAGATTTCATTGCCAAAATAATTAGAATTTTGATTGTTATCTGTGCTGAAGATCAAGCAATGAAAAAGAGAGTCAAAGTGTTATATCACTTCATCAGTTTCTCTCACAAAAAAGGTTGAGAGCATTATTGTACTAATATTTAATGCATCAGAAGTGGAGGCCCATTCATCCCAATTCTAGAAAGTGGGAGTAGAGGAACCCTTTAAACTAAAGTTTAAAATCTAAATGTGTAATGTAGACAACTCAATAATAGCAATCATTGTGATCTGGGGGATTTCTCTCTGTTTCTTGTATCTCGAGCATGTTCCACCTCTTCTCTGCCTGCTTACGTTATTTTGTTTGTATTTGTAGGGTCTGGAGAGAAGCTCGGGACCGCATTGTAGGATTCCCTGGGAGGTACCATGCATGGGACATCCCTCACCAGTCCTGGCTCTACAATTCCAATTACTCATGTGAACTGTCCATGGTGCTGACGGGTGCTGCTTTTTTTCACAAAGTAAGGGGCAAATCCTTAGAGAGAACTGTATTTCTTATGATGACTTAGGCCAAATACTTGTTCTAATGAGGAAAACTGCAAGATTACTAATTGTGGAGAATTTAAGTTTTTCCTCAGTTTTCCAAAGCAAGTGTAGCATGGAAATTGAAATTCTCCTGGTCACAGATTGATATCACTATCATACAGATTGATATCACTATCAATCTGTGGCCAGGAGCACTTCTATGTGTTCTATGAGCAGTTCTATGTGCTATGTGTTGCTGTGCAAGTATGTTTGGCTTTGTTGTACTATGTGTTGGAAGTAAAGGAGAACAGCTACTAATAATCCTTGTGTTGCTGTTCCCTATCAAGGCCCTGGTTTATTGTATGGTCAAAATCCTGGTTTTGGACTGAATAGGGTTGTTTGCTCATTGGGATTACTGAATTCGAGTCACAAATTGCCTATTGAATCTCTGAAGCAACTTCTCTTGGGAGCATTACATTCTTTTTCTTCTTAATCTTTCCCTCCCTCTCAGTTTGTAATTTTTATTTATCACCTTTAAAGCCCTACAGGGCCTGGGATGTGAATATTTGCATAATCGTCTGTCCCTAAGAATAGATGAGATAGAGAGACCAAACTCCAGGTCCTCTTTCTGAAATCTTGCTAACTAGTGGGACCTTAGAAGTGGGACTTTCGTGTGGCTGCCCCTACCTTGTGCAACACCCTGTTGGGTGGAAGGCATGGAAGGAGGACAGCTGTGCCTGCTCTGGGGCATTCCAAGGGGGATGATTACAGCACAGAGTTTTTATTTATTGTTTTATGATTGTTTTATTGATTGATTGTAAACCAGACAGAGTTGCTTAAGGTGGGTGGACATACAAATGTTTTAAATTAATCAATAAATAAAGTACAGCCCTTCCTTTTCTGCTGTTCACGTGTTCCAGAGCTGAGAAATATAAATAAAAGTCAACCCTATACAATTTCACAAAGTTTCCGTTTTAGCCTTGGTGTTCTCATCCTCCAAAAGTAGAATTACAGTTATCTTACATCAGGGTAATAGGTTATTAGGTGTGCCTATGAGGGATACGTGCTTCTTCTACCCAGTTACAATTGGCTGATGATGGAAAATCAAACAGGAGTCTCTCCTTTATTTCTGGATTGCTTTTTCCAACCTGTCTCTTGATGGAGTGGCATATAGTTTGAAATAATTAAGCATGCCCAGGCATAAGCAGCTTTCACAAGTCCCATGAGACTCAAAAATGATGTAGTCGCTTTAATAATATTCAGCTAAGTGGTTTATATCTATTATTCTGTGTTCTGAATCACCTCTTTTCAATGGATTTGACAGAGAGAAAGAGAGTGAGATTTTCACAGACCATGACCACATAGAAAATATCAAGTATGGACTTGAAAAAACTCAAACTTTCCTTTTCCTTGATGTTTAGTTGGAGACCCTGTAGCTTACTTTTGTGAAGAGTAGAGTTCAGTTCCCAAATTTGCAGGAACTGAGTTAAGGCATTGCCCCACCCCCACCCCACCTTTAAAAAAAAAACAAAATTAGGACTCTGATAAAAGATTTTGTATTTTATCTAGACAATGGTGGATTGTTTAGAATGGTATCAACTTTCTTTGTCAAAAATCATTAATTTGAACTGTATTCTCTAATAGCCTACAGTGCAGGTGGGACTAGAATTAATTCTGTTTTTCCCGTCTTTGCTTGGAAATAACTTAAAGGAGGGATAAGGAAGCAGTTGCCTTTCTGGTTATTTTGAACTGCATTGTTCATGATCCCTTGATATTAACCATGTTGCCTGCAGCTCGTAAGTATGGAACTGCAGAACATCTCTGGAGGACGCAAGTTGCCCATTCCTGCCTTATATTCAGACTCATTCTAGTTCTGTTGTTCTGGTGAGAAGATGTAGCTAGAGATAAAAAGTTCATATTTCCACTTGTGGTGATGTCACTTTGACTCTTAGAGAGCACATATGTTAGCTGTCGTGAAAATTTTTATTATACGAGTGTATCTTGGTTAAAGGGTAAAGTTAGTATGCTTATCTAACATCATCTGCAGTGCTGGGATTCATTTATTTTTACTACCAGTTCTGTGGGCGTAGCAGAGGAAGGATGCTGTAAAATCTCCAGTCAGAGATGGTATTTGCCGATTCTTCGAACTACTCAAAATTTCCGCTACTGGTTCTCCAGAACTGGTCAGAACCTGCTGAATACCATCTCTGGTCATCTGATAAAAGATTTTGCTTCTGCTTCTTCAGTAACATTTTTGTACTTTTGGCCCTTTTTAAAATTGTGTGCTCATTTTATCTTCTTCTTGTAGTACTACGCCTACTTGTATTCTTATGTGATGCCACAGGCCATCCGTGATATGGTAGATGAATATATAAACTGTGAGGATATTGCCATGAACTTCCTGGTTTCTCATATTACTAGGAAACCACCAATCAAGGTCAGTGCTTGCCGAAATACTGAGAAAGGCAATTTTTCCCAGGAACACAAGTATAATTATGATCATGTTTCCTTCTCTCTTGTGCCCAGGTGACTTCCCGGTGGACTTTCCGTTGCCCTGGCTGTCCTCAGGCACTCTCTCATGACGACTCCCATTTTCACGAGCGGCACAAATGCATCAACTTCTTCGTCAAAGTCTATGGCTACATGCCCTTGCTGTATACGCAGTTCCGTGTTGACTCAGTCCTCTTCAAGACCCGGTTACCACATGACAAGACTAAATGTTTCAAATTCATCTAAACATAAGACACAGCTGTGGATGTCTGGAACTGGCCTATGGACAAGGCAGAAAGGTCAATGAATTGGGAGACAGTTGCCCCTTTCTGTTTATACTGGGATGCAAGCCCTGCCAGAACTGTGTGGCACAGGACTCCGTTGAACGAGACAGCTTTGACTCATTTATTCAGAAAAAAATAAAAGACTTTCTTTAGATCCCCAGTAAGTTGTTTCACCAAGGGTATAACTGGGGTTTTAAAAATATTAATTATTATTTAAAATGAAAGTGTTTTAGATATGCTTTTAAAGACCTTTTGGGAGGAGGGAGGAAGGAGGGGTATTGTTTGATTTCTTTTTTTTCTTCCCAGCACTAATGATGCTTGGAGGGAAGGAGAGACCTAAGAAATTCCTGTATTCCTCAGTGAGCAAGTTATGCAGTTGGGAAAGTTGGATTTGGTCACCAGAGGCTCATAACTGCTTGCTCTTTGGTCTAATGTGCTTCAAATCTGCTCAGGATTTCACAGAGGAAATTACACATTCCCTCCACACGGAATCCCAGATCTCATCCGTTTCCCTTAGTAGTTCCAAGGAGCTAATTGCTATGTTCAAGCTTTTTCCTTCTTTTCTCTCTCACTGACCTCATTGTAAAGCAAGGTCCTCCCAGAACGCTGCCTGTCCTGTTTGCCTGCTGATGGATTATCTCACAACACCACCGGTAGCTTCCTGTCTGTGCTCCCAATGGTTCACCGCTGCTGCTGTTGCCTCAGGGGAAAGAGAGCTGAAACCTCCTTCCTACTTTTCCTTCCCAGATCCTAGATGCTGCTTTTTCTGCCATTAACAAAGCTCTGCCTTGGAAGCTTTGGTTGAACTCAGAGGTCTTGATTGACAGATTATTTATTGATTCTGTTTTCATGCCAAGTTTCCTTATGGTTAACTGGACCATGGTTTTATTCAATTGACCCAATTTTCTGGGTTTGCATGACATACTGAAACGCAGACTAATTGCTCAGGCTGAGTTTGGGCAGCATGGGAAGCTAACCTGGTGGATTGCTAAATTTGTATTTCAATGAGTCATGTGAATACAGCTATAAAATATGGGCAGCTATGTTACTTATGAGCATAGTGTCAACAGAACAGCATGTTTAAAGAAGCAGATGTGTCTGCAGGGAGGCTGATCGGGAGTGTAGAAAAGAATGAGATCTTTGTTAAACCATTTGGATGAGGACTTGTAGCGAATCTGCCATAATTCTACATCTCTTGCATGTGCAGATATTTTCTGTCCCCTGCCTTCCTTCTATATGGTTGATGGCCTGCTGCGTTCAAGACAAAAAGCTGGTTCTGGCTTGCTAATGGAATCTGTATCGATTCTGATCTCCAGGATCAATTCTGCAGACACAGGCATGAACTCAATAGGTTTCTCTGGCCTAGTTTTGTAGCCCTTTTCCTCTTGGTATCCCTTTTTCACTTTTAACTACATTCATAGCTGTTGTTAAAACATTCTGGAAATCTCTTATTGGCAATGCGTGTGTAGGTATGTGAGTGAGCCTCAACTTATGTATAAGCTCCATTTTTTTCTAAATTTGTTTTTTGTGCCTAGTCCTTTCATACCCAAAATTGCTAATTTTCAAAGAGGTCCATTCCAGTATGACTCTTTCCTAAAGTAGGCCACCAGTAAACAGTTTTGGAGCAACTGAAAAATGAGTGTAATAACTGCTGTCATTTCTAAACCCCTAACCTTAATTGAGTCTCCACTTCAGCTTTTTATTTTTATTTGTGGAAAGATAATAATAAATTACCCATATTCCTATAGCATCTATAAAAAGTTGGCACTCCTGTAACAAATGTTTCTGAGGGAATATAATTTCTATGTGCCTCTCCCCCATGGACCATTTGGTAATGCCAAAACTTCCGTAGAGTTGCATTGCTTATTTGTAGCTTAACTGTATTGAATGTTACCCATATTTGGGCAGCATTAACTACCCATTTCCTTATTTCCCCTTTTAACATTTACTCTAAATTACAAATGCTCACAGTTATCAGTCCTATCATAGTCTTAAGGAATGGCCAATCCTACATAAATATATAGTCTCATTTGCATGAGAACAACACAGATCTGTCCTTGATAAAGTAGCAGAACACCGTGCCTGTATAGGTCTTCCCAGCCACCTGTGGACACACTGTGGACAGCCTAGAACTCCTTTAGATGTCAAGATCCTCTTCGAACATGATGGACAAACATCGGGCAGAACAGCTCTTCATGGTGCTGATCATTTCTCACTGAAGTGGGTCCTTGTCCCACATTTATACTGCAGTTATATAGTGATGCTGCAGAACTCCTAGGTGGCTGAATGTCCTCCAAAGAAAAGGCAAAAGGCAGGGCAAGTTGGAAGTATGTCATCAATCACGTTTGGTTTAAGTTGAGTTTAACCGGCCTGTAGTGACCTCTCTTTTGCACATTTAGGTTTGCATGCTCATACGGACTTTTCAGGGCATTGTTCATTATATTCAATTTAAACGAAGCCTTTTGGAGATGAAGGTAGCTATATGTGGAAGGTATTTTGTCTTATTCTGACTCTTGCTACTTGCAAGAGAAAATTACTTCCTGGCAAATATGTGACTCACCCCTTTTTCCAGGCTGAGCAATGCATTTGCTTATCCAGTTCTTTCAGGCATCAATTTTGAGTTGAGCTTGTATTTTTTTCTTAAGCTTGGAGTGTTTACGCTGCAACAGGAGTCCTTCCATCTTTGTGTTGTAGCTTGCAATTAATCCAAGTTGTTCCCCTCAATAGGTAGGGCTGCTCTGATTGTCCATAGTAAGCTGTGATGCTTCCAGACCTCTATATGTATGAGGAAACCCGGATTACAATGCTAATATGCTTCAAAGACATAACAAGTGGCCTTTGTTCAGTTATAAAGTTTATAACACACTTACCCTCTCTTGGATTTTAAGTATCTACTGGTGATCACTTTAAATATAATCCCAAATATGAATTTGAAAAGGCATAGAATGTGAAGAAGCTTAGATTGAATCTTACTCTACTGGATTCTCTATTTCATGCTTGATCTGCTGGGGGGAATGAAAATTGTTGCTTTCAATCTATCATTCTTCCAGTGAAATGAGAAGAAAATAAGCAATCATATGAATTGTCCTTTTATCAGGCCTTCAAATTAATCAGCAGATCTCACCATACCTTGAGCACGCATGATAAAAATTTCCAATTGACACTCTGTTGTATGCTTTTCTGTCAAAATGGTGGATCTCCTTTCCTTTGAGAAGATGAGCCAACAGGAAGGTAAAATAGAGGGGAAACTTCCTGTTTTGTGGCATTCTGGAATGCCAACCACTGTAAATGGTCCTTCCTTTCTCCCTACTCTGCTACAGGGGATTTTTTTAAAAGCTCAGCATCACATTTTAAATAATGGGTTAAGAAAAAAAACCTGAGTCTAAAGCCTTGGGGCTCTAAAACCTTGAGCACAATACTCCTATGCTGAATTTTGTAAAAGAATAAAATAAACACTGAGTTTACCTTGAATGTGTCTAATTGTCAGCCATTCAAAATGAAAGAAAATGGATGATGGCAACATGTGAGCCATGCAGATTGAAAAGCAATGGCCTTTAAGTGTCCCATTATCAACAGCTGACCTTTCTGGCACAGAACTGAATTCATGGTGCTGAATTGAAAATTAATTAAAAACATCCCTGAGCCATTGAACGTCTTAATTATATTTGCTTTGGTTTGTGCAACTCTTTTATTATTACTATTACAGTGGTTATGTTGGCTGTGGTGTTAGTGATAATGCTATTTGTGGAAATGCACAGATGTGAAAAATAAAATGTTAATTTTATATTTTAGGAAGAAGGATGAGAACTTGTATTGGATTTGGACTTTTAAGGATTTGATCCTTAACTCACAGTTATACGTATGCTGGCAGTCATAAATCAACATGTAAAAAGCCTTTTTGACTTTCAAGTGGGAGGAGGGGCAAACAGGGTTCAACATCTCATTTGATCTTCACTTGCTTCCTACAAGTTCCCACTGTTCACAAAAGTGGCAGCAGTATTCCTAAGAGGATAGGGCCTTCTGTTTTACCCATAACTCAGCTGTTGGTTATTGTCAGGAACAGAGCTAGTAGAATTTGTAAAAAAATAAAATAATAATAATAATACTGTGCAGATAATAAAAGTTTAGCGCTTTTGGAAAAACATCTATATTGAATAGATCAGATGCATATGAAACCGTAAAGGCACATGTTCTATAAAAAGAATTCAGAAAAAAATGTTTTGATTCAGGTTTTAAAGAAATACCCAAAGGAGAAACTAAAAAGATAGGCTTTTGCCAATGGCTTTAATGATTTAGATACAACACGATTACTGTATTCCATCTGGAGCAGCCATCTTCAGACCTAGAGCTTACTGCAAGCTGTAATTTTATCCTGGGAACTGTAATGAAGCTGAGGGGACAGAGGAACAAATAGTCCCTTAGGAGAGATCATTTCAGGCTTTCTGCCTTGGTATCAAGAGGCTCTCCATCTGATGGCTATGTCTAAAGAGAGTGCAAAGCTTTAACCCTGGCTAGGAAAAAGCAGTGCACACTCAAGATAAAAATAAATCTATCATGACTACCAATTTGTGATTAAAAAAAAATATTTCAGCATTAACACGAAGCTGAACTGTGGAAGATGGTTGGGTCCTGAAAAACTAATTTTAGAAGCCTTCATATTAAACTTTATAGCTTTCTTTACTACATATTATCCTTGGTTTTGGACAAAACTTGTGTCCTAAAATAGCTCACATCAGTATTTTTTTTAAAAAACCCATACATCTTGCCCTCTGGCTTAGAATCTAAAAAGGTAATACAGACAAGGGAGTAGAACTGGAAGGAAATGAGAAAGTTCCTCCAGGCTAGAAACAGGTGTTAAAAGATATACAAGAGTATTCATGTTGTTCTGCTAGCCTGAGCTTCCCTTCCAGCTCACTTGAATAGTGACCGTTTCAGATACGAACAATGCCCCTTCCTTCCTTCCTTCTTTGTTATGGCTGAAGCTTGTGTTATAACAGGGCTCTCCAACTTCTTTGAATCTGGAGCCCACTTGGAATGTTAAAAGCATCTTCTTCTCTTTTAAACTGGCTGGTGTGAAAGGAGGATGTGTCCATTCACAAAAACAATTGCAATAGGTCAAACTAGTCACAAAGCATTAATGAACAATAATGTTCACAATCATTTTTTTCTCCTGCTGGGAAAATTAATTAACTTCTAAACAAAGCACTGGATTGCTGTCACTTGCCCACTCTATTTTTTTAAAATAAAACATTTGGATTCTGTCTGTACGCTGGCTAGATGCATTCCTAGATTTTTTAAAATATAGTCTTGAATTATCTTGGACTTTGCTGATTCCAGCTTCTACTTTTTACAATGCTTATTTATATATAAATATTAACATATTCAGTGAATCTTCTCAGTCCCTCCCTCCTCCAGATGACCAGACCTGTAGGTGGGTAGGTGAAATAATTTAAACATACCTTCATATCTGGAGCAGGGAGATAGCAATTCTAGACTGTAACATGGCTAGTCTGGATTTCCATATAGATAACAGGATCTTGTGACCTTAATCAGAGCTTATTCTGATACTGGAACTAGCTTTTGGTTTGAATCATTGTGTTGACTGCATCTGTTAACTATAAAGGCATTTGCCAATCAAATTTGACTCCTGTTGATTAGTTTTGTAGCAATTATTTTCCACTGGTGCTTTTGGGAATTTCTTAAAAACTTCCTGGCCTACCCTAGTTTTCCAAGTATTAACTAGCTCTGGTTGGTCTTGTTTGGCTTTTTATTTCTTTTTCTTTCTGAATATTTATTTATTTTATTCAGAGAGTTAAGGTAAAATGCAAACTCCCCCCAAAAAAGATTTTTTTAAAACAAATATATTATCCTCCCTCAGTTGAATACTAAATGTATTGCAACAATATTGGTTTCCCACTCCCTTGCAAAGCAGGCCTAAAATCTATAAACTTCTATATCTACTTGCTATCAGTTTGACCTGCCATCCATCTCCTATATAAATACAAAGTTGTTAACAGGTGAACCAACAACAAAGTTAAACTTCAAACCCTCTGTTAACAATCTTTTATTGTATTGAACTTGAAGAAAGACTATAGTGGCTTCTTATCTACCTTAAATCACCACAGTAATGATCTCTGATCAGTCCAGGATTAAATATTAATTCTTAATAGAATAATTTTTCCTTAAGATTTTGGTTGAGAATTTTCCTAACAATTGTATCTTATACCCCAGAATCATAAATCTCTGTTGTCAATCCATATTCCCCAAAAAGTCCAGTCCAAATTGTTTACTAGTTATAAGAAGACCATTTCCCAGTCACCATTACCTTTAAGTTGGTGCATTGTAGACATAAACAGTTCCTTTCAAAGTCAGGGGAGTAGCCACAGAAAATATTTCTCACAATAAAGAAGAGTAAAGAAAAAAGGAAAATTTCCATCAATTTTTTTAAAAAAATTAATATGTGTATATGTATTAGGTTTTTAATGAACTTTTAAAAATGCCTTTGTTTTGTGCTTTTTTCTTTCTTTCTTTCTTTCTTTTTAAATTGGATTTTACTTTTTTTGTATAAAACAAAAATAGATTTTAAAAAATTAAGACCAGAGCTTTTTAAAAGATAAGAAAATGAGAAATCCCTGCAGTGAAAACCCAATGTGAATGTAAATCCAAACAAGTCACTTTCACTACCCAGAAAATCTCCATCACCTTCCATACAGAGAAAACGAAAGTAATTCAGAATAGCAGACTAAAATAGTGAAAAATCTTTTAAAATTCTATGTTAAAAATGGCAAAGGATTGGAGTAAATCATCATTCAGACAGTCAATTAATTTTTAAAAGAAAGATTGAGATAAAAATTCAAAATGTGCAGGCATGTTTAAAAAAACAAACAGCTGAAAGGAAAGATGGGACATCTGATTTTCCAATGGCTCCTTCTGGGAATTGCGATCCTCAAGATTCCTCTTCCTGGGTGAGTCCACAGTCATCCATGTGTTGGGAAGTTCCTAACTGTTCCCATTCAGATGTAGGGAGCAGGCTACCAAAGAACCCATATTGACAGCAAATTCAGCTGTTTGTTGGCAAGAGGAACAGATCTCCCTACTGCTCAGCATGCCAACTTGGGGGAAGTTTTATTTGGCTTTTTCAAAACATACCAGGATGTCTTAAGTATTGCTACTTGGTATATTACTCAAATTAACTGTACACTATTAAATCAGTTTTAAGGTCTCTTGCATTCAGAAGCATTGGGTAAATCCAGAAAATGATTTAATTCAGTAACCAGATTAATTGCATTGGTTCATTAATAAAGAATAAATGTAATTCAAGGCTAAGCAGATGAGTTCTTGATTTTCTCTGAGCTTGATTATTTGCAAATTTATATACCGGGTTGTTGTCCTGCAGTAACATCAACAACCTAATCAAGGCTGTAATCAATACAATACATACATGCATACATACATACATACATACATACATACATACATACATTGACAGTCTTGGTTGGGGTGGCCTTGATTAGGTTGTTGATGTTACTGCAGGACAACCACCTGGTAAAAGAACACCAAGATCCCAATAATTGCATTGTCTCAACACAGCCAAATAATGGCATTATGGAAGATCCAGGTGCTCAGGTGTAGTCTTAAGATCCTGTCTCAGGGGACATGCAGAAAGCAACTGGCCACATTTTGTTCCGTTCAAAGCAGGTTTAATCTTCTCTACCAAGTATGTAGGTGTAGTGTTTTACATTCCCATTCAGAATTAAATGTCATCGTTACTGGCTTGATGTGTACCAGTAAGAGGTATACTCTGTCAAGGAAAACAAAGGAGCCTTAAAAGCCACAAAAACTCAGCCCAACCTACTTCATAGGCCAATTAAGAGAGAACACTGAATGCTGTCTTTAACATCTGCACAAAAGGGTGGGATATAAATCTAATACCAAATAAATTCCTTTTCTCGCTCAGGCACTTAAGATTTGCCTAGTTCTGCCACATCATTGCTAAAAGGCCACCCTGGAGGCTTCATGATGTACTTCTACCAGGTTTTCCTACCAGAATGCTTTGAAGTCCACGCTTCTGTCGTATCTTGGTGGTCTCCCAAATCCAGCTTCCAAATCCAGCAAAAATCAACTTCAATGCTGTTGACTGCTGTGACATTTATGTATAAGGATAATAGATTAAATGGCAAGAACAAGATAATGAAGAGGCTTCACAGCTAATGATTCAGAAACAGTCATGCTACGTGAGGGATGCACTCTCTGGCATTTTCAGATGTTCAAAGCACTTTATTGACTGCTAGGCAGGTATTAGAGCATCTAATGATCTCTAGTCAAATCTCTCACTCATTGCAGAGATCTGTTTTGAAGACACACAGCCTTAAAATCCTGTAATGGAAAGCTGCATTCTACTGTATAAATATTTATCAGCAAGGTTTCCCAATTTTGAATTGAATCCTGTATCTTACACTTTAAAATAGGTTTGTTTGTTGTTACTTTTTGAAGCTGGATATCCAACCTGGTGTCTTGCTGTGACAGAAATCTATGTTCTATAATCTATATTATGCCATATGAGTAAGTAATTTTTTTAAAAAAAAATATAGTTCTCTCGTTCTCTCTCTCTCCCTTTCTCCCTCTCTCTCTTTTTGGAGATGACAGAGGCGGGGTTTGACTTTCTGTATGCAAAGCCTCTCCCCTATACTAATTGACATTCTTACAATCTTTTCCACTGATCTCTTGATTTTGCGTCCATTAAAAAATAGAGCAATATGCATGGCTTTCCAGACAGTCTCTTTCCAAATACTGACCTAGACTACTATTTGGTCCTTTGAAGAACATCTTTTCACTATGTTTTGAGACTCATGTTTCTCCTTGGGCACCATCTTTCTGTATGGATGATGATGGTGATGATATAGTCTTCCATGCTCTTCCTGTCTGATGGCCTGTTCTACCGGGTTATAAAATTATTCTCAATATGGTAATAGAAATCAAAAGCATATAGTCTTCCACTGAAAAAAAAAATCAGATCACTCTTCTTACTAACCCATGATGTCATCTTTTTTGAGATAATATTCCTTCTTGCATTGCCTGCTAGCTTCCCTAAGCAGAAAAGTTTTCATGACAGACACATAGATACATATATTTTTCCTAGTGCTTTATTAGAAACAGGACCAGAGCAGCTAATTCCACGTCCAAACATTAGGTGTCTTTTTCAGTAACCCTAGTCCCATCTGTATTCACATAAGGGCTAGGTAGTTTTGTTTTGTACAGAAAGCAATGATTATTTGCCATATAGATGTTGCATATTTTCTGTCCTTTTCTAGCCATTGAGCAAAATCCTGGGATCCCCATACTGCTGCCCATTGAATTCTCCTTTCATCTTTTCTTTATTAACATAACTAAAAGCTAAAACAAGGTCTGCTTTCCCAAGTTGAGAAAACAATTACAGTTTAATGGAACTGGAGGGGAAAAAAGACTTCACCCCAATTTGGGGTTGACATCCACCTGCCAAACTTGAAGGAATTGCCTATTGATGGAACATTAGTTTGTAAAGAGGGAACACAATTGGGGAGGAAAATTGCAAAACCCAGCTAGATACAGTAAGAGGGCAGGCGGGGTGGGCAAGGGGGCTTGTGGTGAAGCCTTTTCATTTTGTGCCTCTGTATATTCATGCTCCACTGTGTTTACTAAGTAATTGTAGACTTGCTGTGGTCCCCAGTGGGAAATACGTTTCTGATTTCAGACATCGACTTTTGTGCATTGCTTCTTAGTAGGGGAGGTCTCTGGCCCCTTGCTGTTCCAATTTGTTTGCATCTGTGTTATTTCAAGTTAACATAAATGTGATGGGCATGTAACCTGCGTCACCAACTGTTGGAAGCAATAATAGCTTTTCTTCTCATGCTTTGTAAAGCTGTTGTCATGTCTCAGCCACAGGCAGTCAAACCTCTCTCTGTGGGCTTTGCAGTACTTTGACATAAAGTGTGCCGAGGCTGTATTATAGCCTGGGGAGGAGGGGGATAATGAAGGGGAAAATCCCTCAAGCCTCTTTCATTTGGGGTCAATAATAAAACTGGTACCTGTTTTAGTAGTATTCACAGATAAGCCAACATTTGCCCTTTCAAGAACCAAGCAAGGAAAGGAAAAAAAGTTTATTATGCAGGGTCTGTTCAGGAATGGAACAGAAGATTAGCAGGTCTTAAATAGCTATCCTGGGGCCAAATTATGACAATGGGACCTCGACTAGCAGCAACTGCCCTACCCTTTGATCATTTAACTAAGCTTTTCATTGTAGCTGACTAGATATTCATTTTCTGCATGATTGGGCCAGGAATTGAGGAAGCAGTGCAATTCACAACTCCTTCCCCAAATGAATGTTAGAGGATTTCTTTTTTTTTTCTCCAAAAAAAGAAAGAAAAAAAAGCAATAGGAGAAAGTTGTTACATTACGACGACTAGTCTTGTATAATAGTAATATTTCTACCTGACCAGAAAAAGAAAGTATACACATGCTATTGTAAGCAGGGCACTACTTAAGAGTTAAGACTTACAATTACCATGTAAGTTCCAATGTACTTTTAAATAAAAATCATGTTTATGTTCATGATTCATGAGTCAGGAGAGCTTGACATGAGATTATTTTCAGGGCTGTGGTGGCGCAGTGGTTAGAATGCAGTATTGCAGGCTAATTCTGCCGACTGCCAGCAGTTTGATTCTCACCGGCTCAAGGTTGACTCAGCCTTCCATCCTTCTGAGATCGGTAAAATGAGGACCCAGATTGTTGGGGGCAATATGCTTAGAGAGAGAGCTGTTAAACCCCATGAAGCTGTCTCAGTGCTATTGCTTGATCTCTGAGTCTAAAGAAGACAAAAGTGTTTCATAATCTGAACTGGTCAAATAAGCTTCATGAGATTATGGAAGCAATTACACGAGCGACATCAGGTTTGTAGAATATAAGGTAGAATATTTTTTCCACAACTCTAATCACATGAACTCATACAAAGTTCCATCACTCCCAGATCTGATAAGATGATTATCTTCTCTTATTTTAGTTCTTACAAACAGTAGACAAATTAAGAGTATGCTTTCAAATTTGAGGTGAGGTCAGGGGGGAATTGGATATTTGTTCTATCGTTGATGCTACTTCCATACATGCCGCTTCTAAATAACCTTCAGCTAAGAAGTAATTTCTTAGCATTATGTTTATCATGTATTTAAAATGAGCCATCAGTTAAAACAAAGCAGGTCTGTATTTTATTAGGGTCTGTATCAGGTCTGTATCAAGAAGTTCAGTATTACAAACTTTAAAAAAATAAAATTAAACTTGAAACTAAATACATCTTTAACATTTATTTCTCCCTCAATTGACAGGAAAGGCTGTTCATCAACAGTTCTGAATTCTGCTGCAGTTGTAATATCAGCTAAATCCCATCTTTTATGCTGCAGTTAATAAACAGAAGGGTATTTTTATAGCAAGGTATCTAGATAGAATAAACCAGGTCTCCTTAACTTTGCCTCGTATAAACAGTGGTTCTTATCATCTTCCTTACAGGAGAGAGAATAGCACACCTACCTGTTGAGTCTCTCACAAATCAAAGGTGTGCAACTGCAGGCCTGATTTTCAAGCCTGCTCCCCTACCTTGTAACCCCAAATCCTTGGTTTAGGCTTCTCCCCTCTTCAGTAAGCTAAGGAGAGCAGGGCGTGTGACTTTGGCAGGATAAAGTCTAGAATTTCTGCAGGAATTTGAGGACGAGGTCCTGCAGCTTCACCCGAAGTGACTCATCATTCTCACACATGATGTGCGTCGAATCTTCTTCAATGCGGATTAGAGTTTCCACATCCTGGAATAGCACCAGATGTCCTTTCGGGGTATCTTCCACTTTGATGTCGCTGAAGCCATGCTGTAGCCACCATGGGCAAGGGGGAAAAAAAATAATCCGCCCCAAATAGGAGCTATTTAAAACCTCTATCTGATAAGCATCTGGTTAATATTTGTACCATATGTTCTTCAGGAATATAAGTTATACCTTTATATATGTATTAGACAAATCATGTTTCTTTTTCTTTGTCCTACTTGCTGAGTCCAAGATTTCAGTATTCTCTATCGCAGCCTTATCAATTTTGCATCCTTCAAGTGTGCTAGCAAAGAACTCAACTATTTTGTTGCTTTTCCTGGTTGGCACATGGCTGGCTAGAAGATTTGGCACTTGCAGTCCAATATATCTGGAAGATGGGGTGGCACCAGACTGGGAAAAGCTGCTTTTATTATTTTTTTAAAGGAGCAGAACCCTGGGTAATGCTATGCAAACTGATGTGGTTTGATACTCAATGGCTCCTGCTCAATTATGTGAGACAAGGTAAGCAACGAATAAGTTAAAATTGCCTCTTTCTTTTAGAAATGAGGCTCAGAAAGGATAAGGTTAATAAACCATGACCTTCATGGCACTGATGGAATTCTTAGGAGAGTGGTGAAATAAACGCTTTAAAAATAAACGCTGATCATAGGACCGGCTGCTTAGCATTAGATGCTTAGCCAATCTACCAATCTTTATTAGTATTCCCTTTTACCTTTTCCAGAGTCTGTACCAGTTGGTCTACTGGGATAGAACCACTTAGGAGAGGTTTGGTAGGCTTGAGTTCCGGCACATCATCTGTTACTCTCTTCCTCTTTTTGCCAGGCTGAGGCTGGGGGAGTTTTGGTGGGAGCTACCAATAAAAGATTGCAGATGAAAAAGATAAAGAGTGTGTACGTAGCTAAAGCTCTACATTAGGGGTGTCAAACTCGCGCCGTCATGGCGGTATCACGTGATGTATCAGGACTTTTTTCCCCTTTGCTAAACCGGGCGGGGTGGGTGGGGCCAGCGTGTGACACATCTGGCCCGCAGGCCACGAGTTTGACACCCCTGCTCAACATGAAAGCCTCAATATTCTGCATGTCTCAAGTGGCCAGGGAATGGATACCTTCAACTCTTCAGTCAATGCAGCCAACCAAGCACAGGGGAGTCAACCTCTTATGGGTGGTCAAGTCATTTAATCAAGATGGCAAGGTCCATCAAGTATAATCTATAGAGGTCTTAAGGCATAAGTATTTATGGGCCATATAAAAACAAGCAGTGGGCAAGGTTTGGCTCATAGGCCATAGTTTGCCAACCCCTAGTCTAGGATATAAAATCTGTCTAGATGTACATCACCAAAACTTCTGAATATTTGCAGAAGGGGGATAGTGTTTTTCTTCTCTCCTTTTTCTTTCATACATATTGTTTCCTTCTCCTTGTCTTCCTTTTGTTTTTCCTTCTTTCCCGCTGCCTATTCTTTCTCTTAATCCTCCCTACACCATTCTGTCCAATCTCTGTTATCTTTCTTTCAAAGAAGCATCCAGTTAATTATTGACTTGTTTTAATTGAATATGAGCAATCCACTGCTTCATTATACACTACCATTGTTTTTAAGTAGTGTTTTATCTATCAATTTTGCCCAGACTTCCCCCCCCCCTCTTTTTGCACAATAACAGTATAAGGCAGATATACATATCTAACAACAAATACGTTTATCATATAAGTTGGAGACAGAGTTCCACAGCAATATAGGAGCTAAAGAAATCATTTGGATGATCTAAAATAAAAAAGGAAGACGGGTCAGACCAGGGAGAGTTCCAAAAAGAATCCCAGGTGTTGGCTAGACTGGGAAATCAACACATTTTCATGTGAATAAACTCCCCACTTTTCTAGAAAAGTGAGATGAACATCAATCAAAAAGCTAAAAAAAATAAAAGCTAAAGCTTTCCCTGTCCGGTCATGTCCGATTCTAAGGCCCATCATCTCTGTTTCTTGGCCAAGGGAACCAGCATTGTCCAAAGACAATTTCCATGGTCATGTGGCCAGCATGGCTATACACCAAAGGCACACAGAACACGGTTTCCTTCCCACCAAAGTGTTACCTATTAATCTACTTCCATCTGCATGCTTTTGGACTGCTAGGTGGGCAAGAACTAGGGCAGGAATGGGAGCTCACCCTGCTATGCAGAGCTTGGGTTTCAAACCTGCGCCGTCAGCTCTCCATATGACAAGCACGGTATCTTTAACCATTGGGCCATCACACTCCTATGAACAAGGCAAATCTTTGGAATCCCCCACTTCCCCCCAGCTTTCATGCATGTTCCCCTCAGCATTAGTCATATCATACCTGGAGTACATGCTTGTTGTCTTTAGTGTGCAAAACAGCACTAACAGTTGCCAAGGAAATACCTGGTTTCATCTCGGTGGGTACCAGTGAATCTGCAAGCTGAAGCAAAAGATGAGTTAAAAATAAGCAGGAACTTTTTCCTTAATAGAGAAAAAAAAATTAGCACAGCTAGCCTGGTAATTTAGAAAGAAAAATACTGAACATGAATACAATACAACAGTCTTTCTCAACACAATATCCTTCAAATGTTTGGAGATATAATTCTCAATGTTCCCCAGTTAGCATGGCCAATTGCATCAGGTTTCTAAAATCATGTGTGACATGGTGAAAGGGGTCAGAAGGAAATATTTTCTTCCTCATAGCTTAGGACTTGTGCAATGGGTCAATAGAACTAATTAGCAGTTCTGTATAATCAATATAAGCAGCTAAAGAGAAATAGATTATCATATCTTTGAAACTAGTTAAAAGTACAGTGATGACCACTGGTTCAGTTGGCCTTAAAGTATAGACTTTAATAGAATATAGGGCTTCCTAATTGGAAATTCTAGGCATCTCTGATCTAATAGAAGGTCTTCAAACTTACAATAGATGGATATTACAGAATACATTAATTATATTTACTATAATAAATTTAATTAATATATTAAACCTTCATGGTCAGAGACAATATGTCTGAAAATATTCCAGTGGGGTACCTGTCTTCAAGTCAGTGCTCTTCAACACTTTTGTAAGAGACTTAGAGGAGCTAAATGTGGTGCTAAGTAAATGTACAAATTACACAAAGCTGTGGGTGTTGGGATTGTTTATACTTTCAAAGAGATACTCAAGATTGAAAAGGATCTTGATGGACTTGAATGTTGGACCCTATTCAACAAATTGCTCCAATGTAAGAAATGTTAGGTTCTGCATTTTGGTAAGATTCACAACTACAAAATAAGTGATTGTTGGCTTGGCAATAGTACTTGTGAAAAGGAACTGGGTGTCCTGGCAGATCATAGATGAAGCACGATCCAGTGGTGTGCAGCTAAAGAGCCAAAGAAATCCGGGATTGCATCAAAAGAGTTCTAATATAGAGATGTAATCTATGATGTGTTGGTCAGGCTGTCACTAGAATATTGTGTCTAGTTTTTGTTCGCAAAATACAAGAAGGATGTCGAGGGTCTGGAAAGATTCAGAGAAGATCAGCGAAGGCAGTGAGACGCTTCAAAGCTAAATCCTATGAACTGGGTTAAAAATGAACTGGGCATGTTTAGCATGAAGAAGAGCAGGCTAAAGGGAGACTTGATAGCAGTCTTCTTGGATCTGAAGGACTGCCTTAGGGGAGAAGATGTGAATTTATTTTTGGTAGTGTCCAAGGGTAGAACAAGAACCAATGGCAGAAACCTTGTAGGAAGAGATTCAAGTGTATAGTAAAGAAGAAAGTCTTAACTATCAGAGCTATGAAACAGTGAAATAGTCTTTGCCTTGAATTGTGGGTACTTCATTACTAGAGTCCCAAAGGTGCTTTTTCAAGAGGCAATGGGACTTTCTAGTTTTTCTTTGAAGACGTTTCTCATCCAGTTTCCTCTTGAAAAAGCACTTTTGGGACAACCATGACATTGATGATTAAGAGTCTCCGTGTTCATTACTAGAGGCTTTGAAACAAAGTCTGGATAATATTTGGGATCATTTGAGGATTCCTGCTCCAGGAAGGGAGTTAGACTGGAAGATCTTCAAATCTTTCCAATCCATGATTCTATGAAATAACCTTTGCTAGGGAGATGCTGCTTTCCTGCTCCATTTGTGGATTTCCTGAGATAAGATGGTTGGCCAAACTGGGCGCAAAGGGACTGTTGAATTGAAACATCCCCTTTCTGACTAAATTACTGCAACAAGTACTTTGTTGGAACACCTGAATGACTGGGTTGAGGAATGAGCTTTCTGTAGAAAATGTATGTGGTCATTAAGAGCCAGTTTCAATTTGATAGTACATCTATCAAGCAATCTTTTTAATTCAGCTTACCTTGCTAACCTTTTTGTTGAATCTATCTGAGTCTCCGCTATTTACAGATTCCTGCAGCTATGCTATGCATTACAAATCACATTAGTATTCGAACTATGTATAAGAAGAAAAAAAAAACACCTTCCTGATAGTATCATAAAAATGTGATGGTCCTAAACAGCAGCTGTGATGACTGTCTTCAATAAAAATATGATGTGCCTCAGGGCCTCCAACACACTTACACCCCAATAAATAAATCTATTAACAGCCAGGAAAAATCCTCCCTAAAGCAAGGAGAGTAAAAGACAGTTGGCTTCTTGCTATATTTTATTTATATGGGCTGAGTTTTATTTATATATTAGATCAACAGATAGAAGACAAATTTACCTTAGTTGCATGACTTTCTACTAATCTTCACTTTTGCCATTCCTATTGCCTATCCAACATGATAAAGGGAGAAAGAGAACATGGGCCACTAAAATATGGAGCTTGACAATATTGGCCATGTGGATTAGAACAGGGGTGTCCAACCTTGGCAACTTTAAGACTTGTGGA